TGCTGCTTTGTGTTATTGACCTCCTGGCACATTTTAGTAATAGCAAGCTATTAAATCCAGTGTACAGAGAAAATGTCAATTGAATGACTATATTTTGATGGGATTTAAAGCTAAGTCCCCTCAGCAAATTTTCTCTTTGCCTCCTTTGTTTTGTACAGCTTCTACATGTGTTATTAAACAGCTGTCATGTTTCATTCTAAAAGTAGGTGGCTACATATGAAGTAACTGGCCATAAATTGTTAAAATGTTGGATCTGGTGCAAGGAATATGAAGAGTGACAAAAACAGCAGGAGACCACACTAAAGTTTTTGGCTAGATTCACTGCACTACGCATCCTTGAAAGCCCTTGGCTGCCTATACATGTGCTCAGAGGTGCGGGGGGGTGTTTTAATTAGAGTGGCTCTCAGACAGCCACTGTAATTAAAATGGCTCGCTGTCATGTGTAATAACCCCTCCCCCCACCCCATCTCCATTTTAAAATGGCTACAGGGGCGCTTTAACTAAAGCTCATTCAATGAGGTTTAGTTAAAGTGGGGGCTGTGGGGGGGACACTGAATACATAATGGTGAGGTGATGCTGCAGCATTCTAATTAGAATGAGAAGCAGACTTGATTCATTGATTTGCTCTGACATTCTAATTAGAATGCAAACAAACATGTCTATAGGCAGCCATTCATCTCAACAATGCTTAGCACAATGATACTAGTTTATCTAAAATGGGTAGAAAAATACTTTCCCAGGAATCTCTTTTGACTATGCAAAAATGTATGCAAAACACATGTCCTAAAGGATTCAACTGAAAGATTCCAGGTGCCACTTTTTGTGCTTTTTGGAGAAAATCACTGTGATAGATTGTACTGAACACTTATTCAAAAATCAAGAAAGGAAACAAAGCTGACAAAAACCTGCTCAAGGAGAGTCAGGAAACTGCAGTAAAGAGATGGCTAATTACAGGTATTTAAAGGGCAGAGGCCTGAGGTGTCAAGTGACTTTTGTGCGGGAAGACTAAGGACAGAAAAAGAACAGTCCACTAACTGTCTTCATTCAGAGTGCAGCACACAATGTTCAGGTGTGTTTTAGAATAAAATTAATATCTTGCATATCTATAGATGGAGACATTTCTTTGGCCAGCTTAAACCAAATGGTCTGAGGGCCTGTTTACATACACCAGGACACACACGTCCCCAAACAACTCCACCTCAGCACTTGCAGCAGAAAGGTGTGCAGTGCACCCCTGGAGGCATCAACTGTGGGCAGAAAGTGTGACCATGTCTACATTTATTTTCTGGGGAGATTCCCATGTGACAGTAGAAGCCTTCTGTCATTCAGTGCTGACATTGTTTTGCTGGCAGAAAGGGTTCTGCAGAAAGAGGTAGGAGTTAGCCTTGTTAGTCTGAAGTCAGTCAGAGGGCGAGGGTAGATATGCATCTTTGTAGACTAACCAAATAACAGATATGTAGAGAGAGTACAAGCTTTTATGAACCCAAGTGGACTTCATTCTGCTCCTACAGGGAGAGGTGAATGTGGATATACTTAGTTTTCTACAGTAGACTACGAATTCTGCCAGCAAAAACTATGTAGTATAGGATTACTTCAAGCCTAAACCAGACTGACTCCTCAATGGGTCAGAGATGCATCAATAGACCAAAATTCATATTTCTTGTCCATCCTTTCAAGAACCTTTTCCACTTTTCCCCTTGCTACTTATTCTCTCATCCTTTATAACATCACCCGTACTGGTTGCTGCTTTGTTCCAAGTCATGCCAGGGTTGTATGGCCATTAATTTTACCTCTATTTTGAATTTTTTCTGCGAATAGGCAGCTCCTGTTGGATACAACAGCAACAGTTTATTTGTAAAAGAAAGGAAAGGAAATGGAAGGATGAACAATTTTATTAGGAGTCTAATGGTGTTTGGTAATTTCCTTGCATCCCGAGCTTCTGGAGTTCAGAGATTGTATGAGAATCTGTTTTCATTTAAGGCGGGGCGGGGTGGGGGGTAGAATGGATTCTGTCTAGCCATTATTCTCGCAGAGACAAGTTTTAAAATGTGACCTCTATACCCTGAAGGTTCAGAAACCAGAAGGCAAATGACACATCCAAATAATTACTACTTAAAGAACAATATCTCCTTGTTTTTTATATCCATCCCATGGTTTTTTGAGGCCTGACTCATGATTTCTGAGTGATTGCAGCTGGCAATACTGTAGTTAAAAAAAATGGGAAGAAACAAAAGAAATAAAACTTTCTGCATATACTTTACAAGCTGGGGCAATTCTAGTCTTTCTGTCACAGAGGCTTTGCTTTGATTGCCTTCTAAACTTTATTCCTCTCCACTGGCTAGTCAAGAGCAAATTGATGATTACTTAAAAGACTCATTTGTTTGCATTAGAAGAACCCTGAGGTAAGCTTAGAATAACTCATTTCTGTAGAGGGAATTAAAAACACTATGAAATAACAGAAAGCTAATAAAATGCCAGGCACCAATGGCTCCAGCGTAATAATATCTTTATACACACTGGAAACAAGGAAGATCTCATTTCATTGCAAGGTTAGTCCAGCAATGTAAACTCTGAGCCCATTCCTAAAAATTATATTCTAGCGTAATATTACCTTTATAAAGAAAGAAATCTTACCTCTCTCTCTACTAAATAATATTATACAGCCGAGAGATGAATTTGATACCTTGTCAGAGAATAAAACAAATTATCAAAAGCACAAGAGCTCTCTACAGCAATACATGGCTCTCAAATGATACCCTCATTCCCCTTCAAATGAAAAATTAAAACAATCACATTTTAGATGTGAACATTCAACAAAGCTGATGGAGCTTTAAAAATGTATCTTTTATTTTCCTTTTAAAAAAATCCACAAATTGATGATGTTTAAAAAAATTAATGGCCCAAAAGTGCCTCTTTTATAACCTGGGAAGGAGGTTCTGTGCAAACTGAAATCCTTTGGCTGATAGGAATTCATTCCTAACTTCTTCTGCTCCATACATAGCACAACCATTTTTGTTTGGTATCTCTCTGGGAGCAGGAGTTGGGAATGAATTCCCATCAGCCAAATGATTTCAACTTATCTTCCCATTGGCTAGGAAAAAAAATGTGTTGTTAAAGAATAAGGAGACTATAAAACCTAGATGTTTTGCTGATATTATTTACTTGATTGCCTAATACAATTTTCAGACAAGTAACCAAACACCGCTAGTGTAGTATGTTGTAGGAGATGGCCTATGCCCCTGTCACCCAATCAAAAGTGAACAGCATAGTTCAGGGCTTTTTTGTGTTTTGTAATATCTAGCATAATCAGGCCCTGATCTAACACCAAGGCTCCTAGCCATTACTCCAGCACTCAGGACAAAATTCCACATTCATCTTTTCAATAAGACTATTCATGTAAATAAAATTACATACTTATACATATGCGTAGCACTGGGATCCAGTTTCTTCATTTGTAGGTTTCGTAATATTATCTATTTTCATTGCAGTAGTACCTAGGAATCCTAGTCACTGACCGGGCCCCAACTGTGCTAGGTGCTGTACGTGACCACAGGTAAAAGACGGTCTCGGTACACAGGAGCTTACCAAAAAAGACAACACCTATATACAAGTAGACAGGGGAGTACAAGAAAACAGTGAGACATGATTTATTGGCTTGAAAGTATTGCTAATATAGACTGTGTACATGTATATAAAATCCACCGTTTCAAACACCTCACTACACACACAATAATCCTCCTAGGAAAAGGATGCAGTAAAGAGTGAACAATCTGTGAACAGATGTTAGTTATGTTGCTTAACACACTACTGAAATTATTCAGATTTTACAGGAATGAGGATGGTACCAGAGTCTGAATAGAACAGTATTTTCATTTTACAGATGAGAGAATAGACTCTTAGAGACAGTAAGTGATATGCTGGGTGAAAGAGACAAGAATGGTAGGCAAAGCACAATGCTCAGTCTTGTTCCTTGGCTATAAGATCATTATTTGTCGGGGCCAAGGGGCTGTGGCCAGCAGCCTGGGCACGTGGGCCAGGGAAGTCGGCACAACGAACTAGAATTAGACACTTACACGTAGAGGTTGATTAAAGATTATTTTACTTACACCGTAGATGGTTGCGGTGCAGGCAGGAAAACTTGCTTGGTTACAGTTGTAGATAGAAGAAAAGAAGAAAACTCGAACGATGAGAGCTCTCTAAACCGATACGAGAGTCCGTGCTGTGACTCTCAACGAGCGCGCAGGGCAGGAGTACGTCAGGGATCGTCCGGTGACGGGGAGATATTCTTGATGGCTGATCAAACCATCATTCGGTCCGAGATATACATAGAAATCCACGAGATAATCGTGGACTCCTTGCCGGAATTCTCTCGGATTTCTCCCGGAATTCTCGGAATCGGGGTTCTCAGGATCCTCCTGAGATTCTCGGAGATCTCCGACTTGGGCGGAAACTGCTCAAGCCTCTTATACGGCTAGCAAGCCAATCGCTAGCTGCCACGTGGGAATAATTTAGAAACAGCCAATAATGGGGAACAAATTTACATACGGGTGGCGGGAACTCCTTTGCACCGGGGTTTTTCTCTCTGCAGCTGAGAATTGCACTGTGCAAAGAAAGCTCCATGTGGCGGGAAATAATTCTGCAGTGCCGAAGCGCACACACAATCATTGGGTCATGACAGTATTCATCTCATGTCTACTTCAAATAATTCATATGGAATGAAAAATGAAAATAATGGGGAAAGATTTATCAGCCTATGATAAATATTTAATGACAGCTATTTTTTCTATATCTCTTTTTGGCACATGGTCTTTTATTTACTAGGCTATTGTATATTTCCCCATTTCTGTAAATCCATACTTTTATCATCATTAAAGATATGAGAAATGTGGCAAATTATTTCAGTGGAGTGGTGTCTGAGTGTAAGAATGACATGTATATCTAAAATTATTTAAAGTGTATTAAGCTGATTAAAGAAGTCAGTAAGATGGATATAGGTTGGTATGTATGAGGATGAAAGAACAAAGTGTGAATACAGATATTCAATATCACTAAAAAGCTGCTTTGAAAAACTGAAAATTACTAACATTAAGAATGGGAGGGCTCCTACTGACTTTAATAGGAATAAATTTGTCACACAAAAAAATGTATGTACAAAGTGTTTGCGGGATTAGACCTTTGTGGAAATTGTACGTGCATTAGAATGATGAAACTAATGGCAATTTGAACTATACAGAGATGTGGTCACTGAGTAATCCCACATCATATTGTTTACTCCACAAATCCAGCTGTCTTTACTCCCTTGAAAATTTCCCCCAATATAAGAAGCCCAAAACATTCCTATCTGATTATTCAAAACATATCGAAAATTTGAAATTCAACCCAAAAGGCAGTTTTAACATAAAGCTTGGGCATGACGCATGGCACTGCCTTTGAGCATCTATTCAACAGATAGCAGTGCTCAGTACTAAAATGCCATTTTCCATCTTTAGGAATCAGATATTGTACTAATGATCAAAGCTTAACAATGAGCAAGTGGGAAAGGTAATGAATGGAGATCAGAATTTAGAAGAATGGAGCAGGGCGAGAGGCTGAAACAAATGTAGAGAATTAAGGATGAGGCTACACAAGGGAGTTAGATAAGGAAAGAAAAAAACATAGATGACATATCTGAAAGGAAGAAGAATTTATGGTATGTATTAATAGCTGCACCTTCTTCTTCTTTCACCCATTGGTGCACACAGCTATTTGGGACAATAGCTCTTTCTGTAACAACAACTGTATCTTATTACAGATGCCACCTTTTTTCCTCCTTTCCCTGAATCCCTGATTTGCTTCCCCTTCTACTCCTCAAAAGCTCCATTACGTGGCATATAGTAGTAGTATGTAATTCTGTAAACATGTCACTTGGGCCCCTCTTTCTCTAAAATATATCAATAAGTGCTTCAGCAATCTGAGGACTTTCTACAGAAATGGTTTGCACCTTTAGAACAACAGTATCGGTTTGCAAAGATACCACAATATCATACTAAGATTAAAAGACCCAAAACTGATTAGAAACTGATTTGCACAGAATTCAATTGATCAGACTTTTTATTGCCCAGGAGGAATGAAAAAAAGCAAGAGCATGTTGAAAAGTAAATTAAATGCTTTAGACCTCTTTCTGTTTAGCACTCTAAATTGATATTGGTAACCCATGAAAGCATCAATGAGAGTGAACCCTGCATTCATTCTTACTGCCAGAACACCTGAGAGTGGAAATTCTTTCTTAAAACCTGAGTCAACACAGTGGACTTTGATCAGCTGCTTCTCAGGCACACGACCTAGGTTGTGCCCTGACCTAAAAATGTAGAGGTGACTCTCCCCAAGTCATCTCTGTCATGACTGATCCCCCAAGTACTTTCCCAAAATATCTGGGGTATGTTACTACAGAATATCACGCAGAACCCAAATTCAGAGCAGGGCCCTTTCTCTGTGGGTCTGTGCTGCACATGGCAGGATTCGGATTCACAGTTCAGGGCTGGAAGGGACCTCGTGAGATCATAGGGTCCAGCCCCGCTGCTCTGGGCGGGAAAGACTTAATCAGAGGTTCTCTAGTCTACGTTTCTCCTTCATTTTTTCCATCCTGAGCAACCTTCAGACCCTACTTCTCTGTAACTGGTGTATGCGACAGCAGGCTTTGCACGCCCAGCTTCAGGACCGAGGTGCTCTCCTCCACGTTTCCAGAGCACTCCCTACACCCACGGCACAACAGTGTTGCACAAACGGCTAGTTTCGTGCCCCTGGAGGCTTGTCCAATCCACCTCTAGGAGAGAGTCACACACACAGGCTGGGTCCAATTTCAGATTTATTGTTTGCAAACAAGTTCGACAAGGGAGCTTAATGCTCAAATCTGTGTCGACCCCAAACAGAGTCTGGGGTTCCTTTTTATAGCTAACATAAACAAAAGATTCTAACGTGTCGCGTAATTATTGGCAGCCCAAGTATTACGTCTTACAACATATGTCTAGCAGGTACATGTTCTATGATGGTTTACATACATGTCTCATTTACATCTTAAATCTCCTCCCTGGGGCCGTCTTTAAGCCCATCTCGGTCATTCTTCGGTCAGGGTTTGAGTTCTTTACATCCGCATCTTTCCCTGTGCCTCTTCTCTTATCTCTCGTAAGGAGTTATTTATTGCATCTGTTCTCGGCTATGTCTGTAGAAGTCTAGTGCTACTAGTAAATCTATCATTGGCCTATATGCCTTAGCAGAAGCAATTGTGTAGTGAAGCCAAACAGTTCTCAGCTGTGAAGCCTTTGTGTAGTGAGATGAGACATTTTTATCACGCAGCTGCTATACAAACGTTATTGCAAAATCATAATGACTAGATTATAACATATTTTTACCACAACAGCAGCCTTCATGGCCCTCATCATCCCTCCCGTGTCACTCCATGGGTAGCGGAGAGGAGACCAGGCCGCGCGCGGCAGGGCGTTAAGGGCAGACAAACCGGACAACAGGCACCAAACACGAGCGCAGGCGCGTAGATGGTGCGGCCGTGGGGCAGGGGCTGAATGAGCCGTGCCAGGTGCCGTGGCGGGGTGCCAGCCCGCTGCAGGGCGTGGGAGGCAAAGTGCCAGGGCACACGCTGGCGACAGGGGACTACAATGCCACGTGCTGGCACCCG